ACAAAAAAAGTTGTACAGTTGTTGTTGTTTTTTATCTCCCTGTACTTTAGCGTCGTAAAATACTTGACTTAATCTGGTTGCTTTTTTTATAAGGCATTGGTTGTGTTATCCTTGTTGCTGTTGATGTCGTCCTTGGGGTATTTCTTGAACACCCCCTTTGGCACGATAATGGAGACGATTTAGGAGGCTTACTACTTTAGTCCTGCCTTTTAGGGCCAATCATCTCGGGCAGTGTGGGATGCAGAAAGACGAGATGCACAAGAAATGTCTTTTCCACTAGGGAATAGAACTTGCATCTCTTGCGCGCAAAAAAATAATAATTGGCATAACCATTATACCACATACTCCGGAAAGCCCGGAAGGAGAACCAGGATAATTTTTGCTGGTTATTTCTTAGGAAGATATGTAGAAGTTTTATCAGAACGGCAATTCCCCAGTTGTTAGATGGTGTTACTTCCGTGCTTGTTTCCTGAGCACTTTGTCTGAACCTTTGCTTCGTGTGTTTTGGGGGTTTGGTTGTTGTTGGGTTTTGGATCACCTTGTATATCTTTTTTTGAGGGGGGAGGGGTTGTTGTTGTTTTTTGAGTTTTTTCCTCATATGTATGGTTTAAAAATCGTAGCCAGTGACCGGATTTGCAATGTTTTTATTAAGGGGGATATTTGTTTGTTTGGTTGTTAGTTTTATTTTGTTTGTTTCTATCTTTGTTTGTTTGTTTCTTTCTTTGCGGGGTTGCTTTTTTTCTTTTCTTTTTATGGTGGGGGGGGGGGGGTGATGCTCATCTTGTGTCCCTTGGAAAGTTGTCTTTTGTTTTGTATCTATCTTTGTTTCTTTGTTTCTTTGTTTCTTTGGGGCTTTTTTCTTTTTTGGGGGGGGGGGGGCAGGTGAGGCTCAGCTTGTGATGTGTCCTTGGTACAAGCACTTCACACGAACTTTACCATTTGGCTCGGTCCTATCGGAGATGAACGTCAAATATTGGAGGTCCAGCCTCTTACTTAACCTTACAGTTTTGCAAGGGGCCTTAAACCTATGTGGTTTCGCACTTTGTTTCTATTTTTCCAATCCATTCCTGGCCCAGAATACGTAATTGGTGCGCTGACTCACCTACTAAACCCTAGATTACGTCGGTCAGGATGTAAAATATTTACAATAATGGGCGAAAACTGCAATCGCACGACATGATTAACACTCCCGGATTGTTCCTAACCCTTTGTCCAACTACTTAACTTTGTACTCTTGCGTCCTAATGTCAGTTTGTGCCAGACATAATGATGAATATTTCATAAGCGAACGTCAGACTTTGTGGCGTAATTGGCTACCTACGAACGTGACCATTACAGAATTTCAGGCATCTTAGGCGATTTTGAATTTCTTGTCAGTCCCAAGATGTTACTTCTCAGACCAGTATTCCGTGGGCTTTTTTAGTTTTTGTAAGCGTTTTACGGCACTTGAAACAAAGATAGGTCATATAAATGCTGAAGATCAGAGGTGTCACTTGCCAGTAACATACAGATAAAAGAAAGAGGTGATAAAATGATTATAGATGTTAGACAAGAAAGGGAGCAAACCACACGAAAGCACCCGGTAAAAACCCATGGGGAATCTACTGCTGTTTGTTTAACGTTTTGTTTTCTTCCGTGTCTGGATAAGATAGTGTATTTTGTTTGTTTGTTTGTTTAGTATAGGGTTTTACGGCGCTCGCAACTGCATAAGGTCATATGAGCGCGCGGGACACACCTAATACTTTTTCGTTGGTGGGAAATTTTGAATTTTGCCCGGGTGGCGGCCGAAGCCTACTCTTATCGATTTTAGACCACCAAGGGATCTTTAACGTGCGCAACTTGCACACGGGCCCTCCGAGATTTTTCGCCCTTGTCCGAGAAGGCTAGGTGTAGATCTTTCCTACCAGAAGATCAGGGGTGTGGCAGAAAGACAGCAGTTAGGAGGAGCCGAGGAGTAGCAGTAGAAAGGCTGCAGAAAGAGTCAGGAGCCCAGAGGAGGGGGCAAAGGAGGTGAGGGGGTGGCGGCAGAAAGTGGAAATGAAAGCAGACAACAGAACATTGTTAGAGATCAGGAAAGGATGTGAAAGGAGACATTTTTAGAGAAGAAAATGTTTTGGTCGCTACCCGGAATCGAACCCGGGACCTTTGAATGAGAGGCCAACACCTTAACCTCTATGCCACGAGAGCCCCCCTATAGTGTATTTAAGAAGAAGTACACCTTCACGGTACACGTATAGTTTGACGCTGCTTTCGGTTTGTGTTCTTTACTAAGTGTTTTATCGAGTGTCTCGTTCTTCACTAATAGTTTTATATTTCTTGCTGGCTCTCCATGAGCTCAGTTGGTATATCGTGCTGGTGCACGGAGCGGATAGATATGGTTGAAACCCCAACTGGGCTTTCTGAATTTGAATTGTTTTGGGGAGTTTACAAGGTTCTCCACCTGTCTGGCATTCAGGTATTAAATTAGGAGGTTTCCCCAACTTTTATTATAATAATAATAATAATAATAATAATAATAATAATAATAATAATAATAATAATAATAATAATAATAACAATAATAATAATAATAATAATAATAATAATAATAATAATAATAATAATAAATAGCATTTATACAGCGAAATGCCCTCGCTCGACAGCAAGCTCTATGTACTTTACATTATATTATTACTGTAGCAGACCATAGAACACTCAGAAACATCCTCAGCTTTGCGAGAAGCATAATGTTACAGTGCAAGGAGCGGATTAAATGCTCAAACAGGAGCAAACTAACAGCATCTTTCGTTGTCTATAGGTGGATACCCGTTCCCGCCTTGTTGAAGTGAAGAATAAATAACCTTACACAACTTACAGTGTTGGAAGTGGCGTTAAGCCTACACAAAGAACACAGAGATAGACTTTTAATGTTTCTTGTTATTGTTATCTTTGTTGAGATTGTCGCTTGGGGGGGGGGGGAGGGGGGAGGGGGGATGTTGTTCTTCTTCTTGTTTGTTTTTGGTTTTTCATGGGGTGAGGTTTTTTTTTTTGTTTTTGTTGCTTTTTGTTTTGTTTTGTTTTGTTTTGTTTTTTTACTAGACACCCTACGAGAAACAGAATCGTTGATTTTAAAGGCTTACTGCAAGAAAATTATGTTCCTGAAAAACAAAAATAAATAGTAATCCTGAAGCCTCATTTTTATTGGGAAAATCTTGATACTGCTATACACCAACTTGGTTGGAAACAAATTGTTATTTTGAGAGACTACTATTGTTTCAAGAACTGCAAGTATATGTACATTCTCAGGGGGGAATGAATCAGCGTCTGTGGTGCAGCGGTCTGGCGCTTCGCCTTCACACGCAAAGGACCTGCTTCCGATCCTCGTGCGGGAAGAATTTTTATCGAGTATCTCGGTCTTTCTGCTTGGAGGTTGTATCCCTCTCAGACAGGGTTGGCCATGACAGGCAGGGTCGAAGTTGGCCACGTAATTTACATAAAAGGTGTCGATAAGGCCGTAAAAACACCCCCATTAAAAAAGAGGGAATTAAGTTGGAATAGGACCCAATACAAAAACCACTCTCCAGATTGCAGATTGCAGATAGCGTAACGCTTTTAGCGTACTCTTCGTATGGGGCAAGAAAACTAAAATCTGTAGTCCTTAGGATTTCTAAAGCATGTTTTGTTATTGTTTTATTGGGGGGGGGGTGGGGGTGCGGGCAGATACAAGGTAGTCACGTATGTTTATACATTTGCTCTTAAACATGTTTCAAAAAGACAACAACAACAAAATAGGCATTTGGACTGGCCATAAAAAACATCGGCCCCCAAAAATGGCCATATATATAGCTTCCAATCAGTTTTGCGAACTAATTAGTTTACTTGAAAACTTAATAGTGACATCTAATGTAAAATGGGTTGTGGTTAGCGAATGACTGTGGTTTGGGTTTTTGTTGTTGTTGTATTTTGTTTTGTTTTTGTTTTGTTTTGTTTTTCATTTTTTCTGGGGATTCTTCCTTACACAGGGACTGTTATAGTTTTGTTTCTTTTCTTGTTTTACCAGTACCAGCTTCCGTTATACCAGATTGTGACTCTGGGAATTATGAACAACACTTGAATAAGAAGCCTATCAATAAAATAACACCGACAAAACATCGGTTTTGAAAAGGTTCTCCCGTAATGAAGAATGCGAGGTGTAGTGTTCTCAGCAAGTTTTAATCCTTCGCAAAGATTTTAAAACGAAACAAAACAGTTCCTATGTCATCTTTGAAGTGGATGCAGTGTCCACCGGAGATGAGAAACGTTTCAAAGGGCAGAGAAGCACCGATTGTCCTATAAATCACCTTGGCCCGTTCTTGATGACAAATCCATTATTAACAACTGCTTTTGAGGTAACTAAGAGTGATTGATTTCTTGCACTAGACAACGTTTCAAGTGTTTTCTTTGAGGTCTTAAACAATATGAACCCGCTCATTTGATCTTCCATAATGCGTTCGTGGGGGGTTTCAATTAATGTGAATGGATTGATAAAGTTTGTATTGTTCTTTTATTACACATTAGACGAGGACAGATCGAAGACAGAACAGTTTCCAATCCGACAGAACTATGGCTATGTGGCAGATTAACTCTTTCAGCACCTTGCATCGATACACCACTCCCAGCCTCCTTTATATCGTCCTCTGAACGCGTCTTAAATTAAGAGAGAGAGAGAGAGAGAGAGAGAGAGAGAGAGAGAGAGAGAGAGAGAGAAAGAGAGCGAGAGAGAGAGAGAGAGAGAGAGAGAGAGAGAGAGAAAAGAGAAAGAGAGAGGGGGAGGGGAGAGGGTGGAAGAGAGAACGTGTGTGAGTGTGTGTATGTTTATACGATTAAACGTTATGTCTTCATTTGTTTTGGACAACTTAACCTTTGCTTTTTTCAGTAATCTGATTTGCTGATAAAACTTGCAAACAGCCATGTGTTCTCTTTGTAACTTCTTCTCTGCTGGCTTGAGGTAAAGATTTCCTGTTTTGACTGTCTACAGATGCTGAGTGCGTCACAAGATCGACGCGAGTGTGGGAGTGCTGACGTCATCGGGGAAAAACAGGACCATGATCTATTGGCACAGCAGCGAGGCCTCTTCCGACGTCAAAAGTAGGTCATCCTATAAATACACAACAGGATAGCCACTTCGGGGACACGAACTTCCGGTGCCTTCCTGCTCTGTCTTCGTCGGCCTTGAATTTAACTCAGTTCCCACTGTGGACTCTCCCCCCTCCCCTGTCTCCCCCAAACCGGTCAAAAAACCACCACCACCACCAAAAAGGGCACGAGAGAGCGTGGAAATCGACCGCTTCATCCCCTCAGTGGAGCCCTCTTCAGCCCCCCCCCCCTCCCGCTATCCCCCCTGGATATCAAAATACGCTCTAGGATAGACAAACGGGCGTTCAGCCGGCTGCAGGGCGTGCGACCATCTCGTTCGAAAAAGAAATCTCTCTCTTGGTCTGTTTCAGCACGCCTGGAGGATAGGGTGACCGCTGCAATGAGAAGAAAAGAAACAGGGCCACAGAAGATGAGGAGGAAAAGAGAAGCGTTACAGAGCGCGCCTTGTTATAAGGCCATGCGTGCTTTGGAGCCAGAGCTCCCGCGTTAGTGTGAGCGTGATGTGTGCGGACGTGTGTGTACGTGTGTGTACTCTGATCGAACCTCGGTTCCAGTGTGTTGACGAAGCGTGGAGGGATAACCCCGAGCTGTTAGTAGCTTACCCTCAGTAATAGAAGACAAAGACTGAACCTCTGAAACATCCATATTCCGCAGACACGCCAGTAATAGAGTTACTCATTCCAGGACGTGCTCACCATCGGCTCGTGTCTCAAGCACGAGATTCCATGCCCCTGGAGACTCATGATGCACACGTTCCTCTTGTGGCATTCATTAAGAAGTTACGAACAGGAACTGTAAATGGGTTACCTTAAGGGATAGGGAAACAATAAAACACAGAGACTCTTTTCATTTCCGTGAGAGACTGTCTTAAGAGATATATTATTGAAGAGGTATTACAAACTTGTCCCTGTTTTTAACGTGGGTAATTTTGGAGAAAGTCCTCACAACCATTTGAAAAAATAGTCACTTTCCACAGTGTACAAAGTAGTTCAAGCCCACGCTACATTGTTTCCTTCATAAAAAGCACCTGGGAATTAGAAAAGAATAGCGCAGTTTTGTCAAAACTGGGCATATCGAGATCTGATAGCCAACCACAGTGTTACGAATTTGACGAGCATATGAACTTTGAATGTTAAAATCCAATTGGCCTCCTGTTTGTTCCTGTCTCTTTCAGAATGTTTTCTTTCAGGCCGAGTTAGGTCATCAAATCCTTTCAATATAACATTCCCTGTATTTGATTGACCACTTAGCGTCAACAATAAGTAAAGCTATCTATCTTTGATAAGTATACAAGCAGTTGTATCAAGGGAGTTAACACATCATGGCTGTGGTATCACTATTGAACCAAGCTCCGTACAGGAGAACCTACAGCAGTCGTGAGCGACTCAACGCTGCCGAAGCTTTAGACGGCAGTGACCTCTGGCTTCATCAGAGTGACCATCAGAGACCAGGGTCCAGCAAGGCCCGTAATCGGCGTCGTTGCGTCACTCGTGAGGGCGAGTTGCTGCCCTTGAGACACACATGCCAGCTCAGTACATGCGAGCGCATTACAATCAACGTGAGTGGCAAATACTTCGAGACTTGGCGAAAAACTTTGGAAGATCATCCGGATACTTTGTTAGGAGATCCGGATAAAAGGAGCAAGTATTACGACAAGCACAAAGACGAGTACTTCTTCGACAGACATCGACCCACCTTCGACGCTATATTCGAATACTACCTCTACGGAGGTGGGTTAAAGAGACCTCGGCCTGTGCCCGACGATATCTTCCTGTCGGAACTTGATTTTTTCGAGATTGAACGCTGTGTTGTTGAGGATTACCGCCGAGGTGAGGGATATATCAGTGAGAATATCGTGTTACCCGAACGAGGCTTTAAACGAAGAGTTTGGATGATGATGGAGTATCCAGAAACCTCACTTTGTGCTTACATCATCGCCATCATTTCTGTGCTGATTACTGTGGCGTCAATAGCGCTCTTCTGTGTGGAGACGCTAGAGGGGTTAGATTCAAAGCACTGCGTCCAGGGCAAATCGCCCAACTGGGTAGATCCTTTCTTCCTGGTGGAGACCATCTGCTCCGCCTGGTTCACCTTTGAGCTCATCATCCGTTTCCTCTCCTGTCCCAGCAAAGTGACCTTCTTCAAAGACTTTAAGAATTTAGTGGACGTGACGGCTGTAGTGCCGTACTACGTGACCTTATTCAACGTCTTGTCCACCATGACTTGTGAAAGCGCCAAATCCTCCGCCTCCCTCGCCTTCCTTCGTGTGTTCCGTCTGGTGCGGATATTCAAACTGACCAAACACTCGGCCGGCCTCCAGGTGTTGGTACTGACCTTCAAGGCCAGCGTGGAGGGTTTGTGTTTGTTCCTCGTTGCCCTCACCGTCTGCATCCTCGTCTTCTCCAGCGCCGTCTACTTCGCCGAGATAGGCATAGAGGGTTCAATGATCCACAGTATACCGGACGGCTTCTGGTGGGCAATCATTACCATGACAACGGTAGGTTATGGAGAAGTGGTGCCCGTCGGGCCACTGGGGAAGCTCATAGGTATGATGTGCGCTATAGCTGGGGTCTTGACCCTAGCCATCCCTGTGCCCATCATCACAGAAAATTTCAACAAATTTTACTCGCACAAGACTGGAAGAGGAAGAATCTGAGAAATGTGAGCTGTCTTTGATTTCGTCTTCGAGCTTTGCGTATTGTGTGAAAGAGAGTCTAAATCCATCAAGTATACGGCTGAGTGCATTTTCAAAGGAGTAGCTGTTGTCAGAATGACCAGGTGGCTGGAGCAGAATTCATAACGAAGAGAATGATAGAGTTTGTTTCATTTTTCCTATGCGCTGAGTTTCCTGCCTACTTAGGTTAAAGGAGCAGCTTCATCACGGCTGGGTACGGCGACTTGCCAAAGTGCTTTACGGATTTAGGCAATGTTTCACGGTGTTTCTGTTCTACTCGACTTCGTGAAGTTGGACTCGTAAAGGCTTTCTTTTTTTGATGGAATCTATGCTGAGACTGCATCTCTGGTTTCTATTTTCTTTAGGCTAAACACGGATGTTCCGTGCAATTTGAGGGGAAAGATTGTGATCTCAAGTAAGTTGTGATTTTAATCCTGTTTTGTAAAAACGACAATTGTATTACGTACTCGTAATATTACCAAGAGTATAGATTGTTGAGTATGTAATTGTCATTAAGGTAAAAATAGGCAAGGAAAACTTAATTGACTGTGAACAGTTTCAACTAAAATCATGTCTATACATTTGATAAGCAAAACAGAAGGAACCGCTCCTTTAATTCTTCTCGGCTTCTCTTGTTCTTTACACGGTCACAATTTCTTTCACACCCTTTCAAATCCTTCCCCACAAGAGTGATGTTTCCGCTCGCGAAATGGGTTGTTCTATGTCTCTTAGGATGTGAAATTATACTCTCAAACTTTGCTCTTTATTACTCACATTATTTATTTTTTTTAATGTTTTGTCTTTGAGGTACGCTTTTTTAAAATCTCATCTTTTTCTTTTTAATGTATGAAACCTCCACAATACCAGCGGATTATTCGAGGACTCAGACATTTCTCACACAACGAAGTCTTCAGCCAGTCAGAAAGGATCAAGTCACGATGTTGTGTTTAAAGACAATTCCACGGGAAAAGCTTTGGGGAGAGTTACCAAGGAAAACACCAAGGGGAAAACCCAAATCGAAGCACGCAGCAAGCTTTCATAGCTATTGGAATCGGCTGAGTACATGTCTTTGAATTTTTATCTCTCCGGAAGAAAAGCTCATCGATACTCGGAAGGTCACGTAGCGATAGTGGAGAAAATGAAGATGAAGGGGAAAAAACGAGGTGGTTAGACGAGAAACTAGTGGATCTAATTTTAGAGGAAAGACTACGCTCAACTGCCGCCATTACATTAAGTACTATTGACAGTCACGCCGCCCACCGCAACCACATTCCTCTCTCTCCTCATACAGACTATTTGATTTACTTATCTTCCTAATCCATTTGTGGTATTTTCTCTCTGCCTCCCCTCTGTCTGTTTCTGTCTCTGTTTCTCTCTCTCTCTTTCTCTCTCTCTCTATCTTTCTCTCTGTCTGTCTCTCTCTCTGACTGTCTCTCTCTCCCTCTCTCTGTCTGTCTGTCTCTCTCTCTCTCTCTCTCTATCTCTCTCTCTCTCTCTCTCTCTCTTTTCCTTTCAGTCTTCCCTTCATGAGAATCACTTCACCTTCTATCAAATTGGCTGTATGCGGACGATCTGTCCCACATCCAAACCTTTTGGTATTGCTGATGTTGTTGATTGTTTGTTGCCACGTAAGGTTTAAGAAGGAAGTCAAGCAAAAGCCTGCACCTCTATAAAAGTAACTGTCTGTCCCCGGGTAAACATCATAAATAAACAGATATTACAAAATTGCTGATGAAAAGTTTGGCTTGCAGGTGTGGAGTTGTTATCTAATACTAGATCTATCTTAATTTCTACTAAATGGGATCGTGGGTTTTACAATTCGTACACGTACTTCTGATATCACGCAATGTGTAATGAGATTGGTGTGTGTGGGGGGGGGGTTCATAGAAACAGTTAGCCGAAATCGTGCATATTTTTGTCAAAAATCATATCTCCGCACAAACTGCTATATTCAGTCGTCCGTCAGTCACCTTTCGTGGAGTATTTTATTCTACTTATTCAAGCCATACGCCAACGTCAGTGGAGCATTATCCATTCCTGGGAGGATACAGCTCCAACAGTTCTTCTTCACTGTTCCCTCGCCTCTTTCCTCCAACGCCTCGAGCTATAGTCCTGATGCAGCTGACACGTCTCTGAAGTTAAGAAAAAACCTCTGAGGTCCTTCTGCAGGTGGTGCAGCTCACGTGACAGTCTACCACGGTGTTTCTGTTCTACTCGACAGCCTACCACTGGACCAGTCTGAAAATCCTTCTTCTTGATGGTCAACTAGTCTACTAAAACTAACAACCCTCACCCTCACCCTCACCTCAACCCTAACCCTATCCTTAACCCTAAACCAAACTTTAACCCCTATCCTAAATCCTAGTAGTAGTCCTAGCCCTGGCCCTAACCCTAACTTCAACCCAACCCTAACCAATTGACACAGGAGGATAGGTGGACCCTGGCCAATCGGGTAGACCGTCATGTGGACTTAAGTTCTTCTGAGTCTGTTTCGGATCACGTTGGACTTTTGAACCACGTCCAAATAAGATTGAGACCAGCACCAAGGCCACAAAGCATCAGCAACGTGAAGAATTCGTGCTAGATCACCTCTCCTATAATTTACTTCAGGCTTTATGTGTTGGGATTATATTTGAAACTCGACCTGGGACGAACAAAAGCAGCAGGAGTCGAAGCGATGAGATTGTTTTAAAATCTGACTCAATAAACTATTTGCAACCGATGGAAAAGGAATATGTGTGTAAATATTTCAACAAAAGAAAGCTCTTTGGCGGATTTTTCACATCATGCATATCACAGCTGATTGGTTTGAGGCCTCAATAGGAGATGTCATGCTATACAACGGTGGAAAGACGCATCCCTCAAAAATGTCGGATTCACCAACACCAATCGAATTCTTGTTTATTCCGACCAGGTGAAATAAAACTGTTGAAAGAGATATATCGTCGGCAAGCTGTTAAAATGTATTAAGCCCTGAAAGCAAAATTTTGCAGGAGAGAGAAAAATACTAATTTACTATTTCATTAATTGTACCTAACTTATGTAATTTTTCCTTGCTTGCTTTTAGAATTTTAATTTTGACAAAATATTAATCTTGAACCATGCCACAGATTAAGAAGCTACAATTTTCGAAAGCAAAATTTTGGGCCAAGTACTTTTAAACAACTGGCTATGGATGTGTTCTTCATCATACTAGTGTGGCAAGTTTTATGTGTCCATTCTGCCCATTTTATTTCCAAACTATTCATAACATCGATCTTTTAGTTTGGAACTCTTATAGTGGTTGACAAGAATGTAGTAGCATCATTATACTTTTAAACAGAAAAACTCTATAAAGCTATTCATTTAACATAATGTTAGCCATAGGACTCAATGAAACGGGCTGTGACGGATGTTAATGGGCAATAAAATATGAATAAACAATGAAGTGGATGGACAAAACTAATAGAGAGGCAACAGTCTTCAATTTTCTATTTCCGGGAATCGGACAGAGAGGAAAAGAATGGGGGAGGGGGATGCGACGGCATCTAGTTGAAGGCGTGTTGGAAACTATTTCCGGGGTCAATTTGATACGGCAGGCTTTCTGTCTTGTTTCCACACCCCTTGAAAACTTGTTCAACATTCCTGTTTGTACAGTTCCTCTCCTAGTTAACTCACCCTATGTTCAAATATCAACATCCGCAACAGAACTAAAATGTTAAGACATTCTTGTAAGCCCTTTTAGCGAATCGTCCTACTTAGGGGAATAAGAAATGTATCTTGTCAAGGGCATGGGGGTTGCCCGTTTCTTTGCTGCATTCCATGCAGATCTGCTCGGGGCTGGTAACCTACCCTTCCTAATTCTTGGAGTCGATGAGACAGCTGACCATGCAAACCTGTATATATACTTGTACATGTATTATAAGTTTTCGTCTCTGAATGCAAGCAAAATCCATGGACTAAAATACTGATGACTATGACCGTTGTCAACTGATTTTTGTTTGTGATTCCACAGGTCAATGCGTGTCAACAAAAAGGTGTATACATGTATTTGGAACCAGCGTAAGTTCTTTAGAATTGTAAATCTGAGTGTGAAACTTATAACATCATTTTGTTGGCACGAGTTGACTTATGGTTAGGTTGCACAACACGGGCGAACAATCCTCCTTACGGTTTTGTGGTGAGAGAATGAATCATATTGTGTGTTTGAGTGCCTGTTTCTATTCTTCGTTATGACACAGACTGTGTTCAGACCGACCCAGAGTCTACACCATTCTCTTACCTCCATTTTCCTCGGCAACGACTCCTGCGTCCGTTTTGCATTATGTCCATGCACTGGTCAAGTCTTACAGGCAGTTTGACCAGGTGGCCGACGACTGTGATGTATTATAAGAACTTTGATGCACATTTGCAATGTTAATATTAGATTTCTCTTCTTGTATATTTATCTCAAACTTTTACCATGTCACCCTTAGATATTGTTTTCACTGATTGTCTTATGTACAGTGTGAATCTAACTTATTCTTTCATACGTCCTCTGTGTTAATTGCATTCCCTTATCAACATACAAAACCACCATCACCATTTTTAACTTCTTCCCATACACAACGGATTTTATTACTCATTAGTATTTAGATGAAATGCGTTTGTTTTTAGCCCTTTATAAAGTTGGTTTTGAGCCCTTTTCAATGTGAGCCAACCCTCCTGATCCATTTCATTCGCAATTTGATGAAGGTTTTTTTCCGTTTGCCAAACCTTGCACTTAGGGTCAGCGGAAAAGTGGCATAGTTTTGTAACGAAGTAATGTCCAGATCAGTGTTTATCGTTGTATTTGTTACAAGTACAGCATTATTTTCAAGCTTTTTTTTATTAATCTTTTTATTTTACTGTAAAATTGTAGGCTGTCGTATCCCATGACAGACTTGTCCGGACTTGCTGTTGAGCTTCCCATCTCGACTGACGTGACAAATGATGCGGTACTGTACACATACAGTCATGTAGTTTGACTCGGGCACAAATCGATTATTTTCATAAGCATCTGACAGATTAGTACATGAAGGGATGGTGCAACTGAAATTGGGCTCTTTTTTTAATTCACCAAATATATATTTTTTTAATGTATGCTATTATAACTGTCTCCAGCGATGCTGAGGTACTTTCAATAGAATATTATTGACTCCTAATTGACGATGATAACCTTGATAATGAGTTGAAATTGGTATATATATATATATATATATATATATATATAATATGTGTGTGTGGGTGTGTGTGTGTATATATATATATATACATATATATATGTATCCCAATGACAATCTTTATTCATCTCGCTGGGAGAAATTTGTCTCGGTCGTTAACAATGGCAGTAGACGTTACAAAAGTTAGACCTAAAGGTGCACTCACGCAAACGCAAAATAAGATATATATCATATAAAAAGTAGACGCAGTGCTGGTTAAACAGGTGACAAAAATGTGACATAAATCGTTTGAATTTGTTTTTGAGTTCACTCAGTTGGTGTTGAATGCTTTATTATGTAAAGTGTTATTGAATAAATGAGCGGTATGAGAAAGGGCTCAAAACCAACGGCTAAAGAAGGGTGGGGGCTGAAAACAAACGCGACTGTAGATTGTTTATAGTGTTGCTCTTTCTTCAAACTGTTTTCTTCTCATATTATGTGTAACGTGTATAGGTTACCTACAATGACATTACAAAAACTATGCAACATTTCTCATGACTATAACCATACTTACTACCTGTCAATCCCCCCCCCCCCTTTTCGCCCCTCTTTTCTTTCCCTTTCTCAAAGTCAGAGCATATCATCAGAATTATTATATGTGAGATGCATCTTATTCCCAATGTTAAGATACTATTAAAGGGATGAGGAGAAAAGGGGGTGGGGTATGGTGGGGTGGGGGGTGCTGCATAATAATAGTGTCAGTGTTTCAAATATTTAGATGCTTCGAAAAGGCGACCTGTTTCTGTTCGATTCCTAAAGAAAACGTACATGCAGATAGATAGATAGATAGATAGATAGATAGATAGATAGATAGATAGATAGATAGATACATAGATACATAGATACATAGATACATAGATACATAGATAGATAGATATTGAAAGGTCCTGCATTGAATGGGTAATTTTCCTTTTTTTAGG